CCTACTAGACAGGCTAGCAAGTTGGGTGAGTCAGAACCAGATGAAGTTCAACATTAAGAAATGTAAAGTACCCCACCTGGGGACAAACAATCACCTGCACAACTACAGGCTTGGCAATGCCAACCTGACCAGCACTGCAAATGAAAGAGACCTGGGGGTAATAATAGACCACAGCATGGATATGAGCCAGCAGTGCAACTCTGTTGCCAGCAGGGCAAATAATACCCTGGCATGCATCAATCGATGCATTTCCAACAAGACCAAGGTGGTGATTCTTCTGCTCAACTCAGCATTAGTGGGACCCCAGCTGGAGCACTGCATCCAGTTTTGGGCACCACACTTTAACAAGGACATGGTAAAACTTGAGAGAGTCCAGAGAGAGGCCACCTGTATGATCAGACACTTGCATGACAAGAAAATAATACCCTGGCATGCATCAATCGATGCATTTCCAACAAGACCAAGGTGGTGATTCTTCTGCTCAACTCAGCATTAGTGGGACCCCAGCTGGAGCACTGCATCCAGTTTTGGGCACCACACTTTAACAAGGACATGGTAAAACTTGAGAGAGTCCAGAGAGAGGCCACCTGTATGATCAGACACTTGCATGACAAGACATATGAGGAAAGGCTGAGGAACCTGGGACTCTTCAGCCTGAAAACAGAGAAGGCTGAGAGGGGACTTGGTAGCAGCTTACTGCTACATCAGGGGAGTACATCAGGGGCTCAGTTAACAACTGTTCACCAGGGCGCCCTTGAGGAAAACCAGGAGTAATGGCCACAAACTCCTGAAAGACCATTTCAGGCTCAACATTAGGAAAAACTTCTTCACAGTCAGGGTGTCCAGACTGTGGAATAAGCTCCCTCCAGAGGTGGTGCAATCACCTACCCTGGAAATCTTCAAGAGGAGACTGGACGGTCACCTTGCTGGGGTCACCTGACCTCACCTGTCATTTTTCCTGCCTGGTGCAGGGGGCTGGACCCGATAATCTTCTGAGGGCCCTTCCAGACTTGTGAACATAGTGAGGAGGACTTTTAAACTAGGTTTGCCAGGGGATGGAGACCAAAGCCCCAAGGTAAGTGGGGAAGTAGGTGACCTGGAAGAAGCACAAGCAGGAGCAAGGAACAGGGCCTTATTCTTCCTGAGAAAGTAAGGCATTCAGCTAATTACCTCAGATGTCTGTACATGAATACACAAAGCATGGGAAACGAGCAGGAAGAATTGGAAATCCTCGCGCAGTCGTGGAACTGCGACGTGATTGGAATAACAGAGACTAGGTGGGAGCTCGCATGACTTGGGCCCTGTCCTGGACGACTATAAACTATTCAGGAAGGACAGGCAGGAGAGAAGAGGAGGAGTTGTACTTTGAGTAAAAGAGCTGGATGATTGCTCAGACCTCCAGTGTGAAACTGGAGATAGGCCTGTTAGGAGTCTCTGGCATAGGGTCAGAGAGAGAGCAACAAGGGCAAGGTCATTGTGGGGGTCTGCTATAGACCACCAAACCAGGAAGATGAGGTGGATGAGGCTTTCTTCAAACAGGTAGTGGAAATTCCTGATCACAGGTCCTGTTTCTCATAAGGGACTTTGATCACCCTGACATCCGCTGGGAGGACAGTACAGCAGTGCACAGGCAATCCAGGAAGTTTCTAGATTTTCTACAAGTATGTCGGCAAGAAGAGGAAGGTCAGGGAAAGTGTGGGTCCTTACTGAATGGGGGGAGGCAACCTAGTGACATGATGAGGAAAATGCTAAAGTACTCGATGCCTTTTTTTTTTTACACCTCAGTCTTCACAGGCAAGGTCAGCTCCCAGAGTACTGCAGTAGGCAACACAGTTTTGGGAGGAACTGAGCAGCCAACAGTGGTGAAAGAACAGGATAGAGACTATTTAGGAAAACTGGATGTGTGCGAGTCCATGGGGTCAGATGCAATGAACCCGAGGGTGCTGAGGGAGTTCGCCGATGTGATTGCAGAGCTGCAACATTATCTTTGAAAATTTATGGCATTTGGTAGGGGTCCCAGATGATTGGAAAAGGTCAAATACAGTGCCTATCTTTTAAGAAGGGGAAGAAAGAGGATCTGGAGAACTACAGATAGGTTGGCCTCAGTCCCTGGAAAAATCATGGAGCAAGTCCTCAAGGAATCCATTTCTAAGCACTTGGAGGTGGTGATTGTCACGACCCAGTGATTTTTTGTGCCTCGGCACTATGGAATTTCCTGGCCACACGAGAGCTCCTTTGCACGGCAGAGTGTTCTGCTGCAATTGAGAGCCTGCGTGCAGGAGAGTTCCCGCCAATTTGCAGTTTCCTTTGCAGGATGCATTTCTTCTTTGCAGCACAGAAATGCACGGTGCAAAGAGTTCCCGCTATTCGGATGCAAATTTGTGCCCCGTTATTGGCCAGTGCTAAATTATTCACACGTGGCGGCTAGTAATTGGCTCGCTGGCCGTTTAAAATTCCGCGCGACTTCTGCCCAAGTCGAAGAGCTTTGAGCACGCTGCAGAGTGCCTCTGAAGTTATCTGACTTGCGGCTGCCGATCGATAGACCGATCACCTATCGATCTTTCTTCCCGTCACCGAGCGCAACCCCGACGTACCCCTTTCCCCGCCGGCTCCGAATTGCGGACGGATTAACTGGCTTGGGCCCCGCCAGCTGGAACAACTCGTGTGGTTGTTCCGACGACCGGACCACCTGCGTCGTGATTGCAAGCGGCGTGAGTAAAGTTTTTGCAACCAATAAGTTGTGTCTGCCTCTCCATTCACCAGCCCGCCCTGACGTACGAGCATACCTCGAGTCGGCCCTGGCCGTCCGAGACAGTGATTAGGAATGGTCAAGGGCAAATCATTACTGATCAACCCGATTGCTTTCTATGATGACATAACTGGCTCTGTGGATGGAGGAAGAGCAGTCGATGTGGAATACTTTGACTTCAGCAAGGATTTTGATACGGTTTTGCACAGCATTCTCTCAAGCAAACTAAGGGAGTATGGGCTAGATGAATGGACTGCAAGGTGGATAGAAAACTGTTTGGATCATCGGGCTAAAAGAATAGTAATTGATGGCTCAATGCCTAATTTGCTGCCAGTATCAAGTGGGGGTGGTCCTGGGGCCAGTTTTATTCAATATCTTCATAAATGATGCAGATTGCACCAAGCTGGTTGAAGCTGTAAATGCACAGGAGTGTAGGGCTAGGATCCAGAGAGACCTTGACATATTGGAGGTTTGAACCAAAAGAATCTCATGAAGTTCATTAAAGTCAAGTGGTAAGTCCTGCACTTAGGATGGAACAGTCCCATGCACTGGTGCTGACTGGCTGGGCAGTAGCTCTGCAGAAAAGGACGTTGGGGGTTACAGTGAACAATAAGCTGAATATCAACCAACAGTGTGCTCTTGTTGCAAAGGAGGCTACTGGCATACTGGGCTTCATAGTAGGAATATTGCCAGCAGATCAAGGGAAGTGACTGTTCCCCTCTATTTGCCACTGGTGAGGCCACATCTGGAGTACTGGGTCCGGTTTTGGGCCCCCACTACAGAAAGAATGTGGACAAGTTTGAGAGAGTTCAGCAAAGGACAATGAAAATGGTTCAGGGGCTGGGGCACATGACTTGTGAGGTGAGGCTGAGGGAACAGTGCTTATTTAGTCTGGAGAAGAGAAGACTGAGAAGGGATTTAATAACAGCCTTCAACTACCTGAGGGATGGTTGAAAAGAGGATGGAGCTGGACTGTTCTCAATGGTGGTAGATGACAGAACAAGGAGATATGGTCTGAAGTTGCAGCAAGGGAAGTTGAGGGTTTACTACCCTCCTAGTGTGGAAAAACTTTCTCACTAGGAGGGTAGTAAAGCACTGGAACAGGTTACCCAGAGAGGTGGTGGAATCTCTGTCCGTGGAGAATATTAAGACTTGGCTAGAGAAAGCCTTGGCTGGGGTAATATAGTTGGGGGTGGTCCTGCTTTGAGCAGGGGGTTGTACTGGTGACCTCCCAAGGTCCCTTCCAGCCCTCATGTTCTATGAATCTATGATTCTGTAACACACCGGGGTCACTGGGCCCTTCTGTCAGTTGAGCAGCTTACCTGCTGAGAGGTTGCTGTGACATTAAATTGTGCTATTTTCCTTTTTGCTTCTCCTACAACCATACCATATTATGTAGGCATTTGGCAAACAACATAATGCCTCTCCATTGAAGAAAAGATCTCTCTCTTCAGAACCCACATGTGCTTCACTTGGCTTACACAATTTGACCTACAGCTGCAGTGGTTAAAGGATGGGCCTTTTGGAAGGGACCCAGCATGCTCTCTGTTTGAACTATCCTTTCTAAAGGTGCTGATTACAAGCTCAGGGCCAAACAAACACCAGCCAGGCTTCATGTATAAGCAGCTGTACAATGAGCTGTCACAGATTGCCTCCTTCCAATGCCCTGACCCCTGTCGCACACAAGCAAGGCAGGAAATTGTTAAGCCACACAACTGTACATCCTTTTGCCCCTCTACTCGCAAGCGTGCTTTGCTGTTGCCACAACTACCATGCACCACAGCCTTTATTCTGCTCCTTTAGGGATGCTCTTTCCCAGACTGCTGCTTCAAGTTCCCAGCCTATCCTTTAGCCATGGCTTGTGTTCATGTCTTAGAAATCAAACTCCACCTGGTCCTTGGTGCCTGTCCTAGCAGCACCCATTACTGTGAATCTGTGCCCTCTTCCACTGCAGACCAGCTCTAAACAGTCAGACTGCTGAGCTGGTTGGGAGATCCACTGACTTCAGAGGGGGGCCCTGTGCGAGCAATGGCTTCTGTTCAGGTCAGGCACTTTGCGGGATCATTGCCTAAGTGAAAACAAGCATCAAAAGGAGGTGAGGTGCCGTGGGAAATGACCATAGGCAAATGCTTGGAGCTTAGTTTGACTACTGTGGTGGTGGGGAATTCTAGCACACCTGTGGGTGACCAGAGTGGAATGCCATGCAGCTGGGATACGGGCTCATGAGGGTCTTGTCTTATGAATTTTGCAGACCCCATAAGTGGGAACCTCATGTTGAAAAATCTTTCAAGAGAGATGTCTGGAACATACATCTGCACAGCAAAAAACAATGCTGGTATCTCCAAGTGCAACATAACCCTGGAGGTGAATTCATGTGAGTATACTCCCAGTGTGGTGGAGTCTCCACTCCTGGGCTGGAGTGCACAGACATTATCTAAAGGAAGATTTAAGGCCATGGAGGAAGGGGTCCAGAAAACAGTGAAGGAATTAGCCTGATTTGATATGAGGGGATGCATTCACTGCTCTGTAATGTTGCAGCGTAACTGGAACATACTGACTGGAGGAAAGTTAGGGATTAGCATTAGCAGCAAGGTGAAGATTGCTGCAGGTTCCTTATCCAGCAACAAAGGAAGGTTGGATCTGGCAGGGGTGGAGGGGGAGGGGAATTCCTGTGCCATGGGGAGCCCCCACAACCTAACCAATGGGCTTTCTCTACCACATCCCCTTTTACCATATTCCAAGACAAGTGTGAGAAGCCCAGCTTCACCCTGGAGAAGCTGGCCAGGCTGGCCCTGTCCAGCTTCCTGAGGTTCTGTATTGCTCTGACCCTGGCCTGCCGTCCTCTATAAACTCTGTTCTGATTTTCCGCAGACAACAATGCAGCTGTGATCGCTGGAGCTGTCGTGGGGTGTCTCATTGGAATTGGCTTAATCACCGTGTGCATTCTGCAATTTTTCGTGTGCCGAAAGAAAAAGAAAAATACACAGGAGGAAATGGCCAATGAGATCAAGTGAGAATCTGTGTTGTTTATGCCATCTGTTAGAAAAGCCCCTGGGGAGACTTCCCAAACACCATTGGTGCTTCTGTTCTCTAGCAGCTTGTCGGGGACCTGCATACTTGTAGCTGTCTGGATTGGAAACCTGAGTGCATAACTGAATGGAAAGTTACCAGGGCACAAACATACCATTGTCTCTGAGGCTGGGGCAGCCATGATGTTGTCCCCTCTTTACAAACCTTGTGGTATTTGGTGTGTGTAATAAGGCCCCAGTTCCTGGAATCACATGACTCTGAGACTCTCAACTTCCATTTAAAAATGATCTCTGGATCCCTAATTGAGGAGGAAAACTTGGAAGCATGACCTGTTTGGTCAAAGAACATGAAGACAAATCAAATACACCCCTCATGATGACTTGGAGGCTGGTTGATGGTTTTGCTTGGGCCTAACACTGTAGCTAGTAGCAAAGGCCAGAACTAAGGTTGCCCAGCAACTACATAAGATGATACTGCCATAAGATATTGGTTGAATTTTGTCAAAACGTAATGTTTTGGGCTGAAGCTTTCCCTGCTGGTGGCTGGCCAAGGTTAAATGCTTTCTCGAAAATGTCAGTGAAGATGTTTCAGCCATTTGGGGCAAACAGTTTAAGGGCAAATTTTGTTTTGTTGCTGATGATGAAATGCTTATCATGCTGGTTTTGTGCCTCTGCATCTTACAGTGTGGACCTGAAGTCTGGCCAGGGCCCAAATTTGGCTAAGTTAAAAGCCTTTGAAAAATCTCAGCCTACACGTGCTCATACAGACCTCTCTGAGTTTAACAGCTCAAATCTCCAGAGTTTCTGTCCACAGTGAGCATGTTCCATCTCCACTGCTGCTACTTGTAAATGCAAAGGGGAAGGGAAGAAACAGGAGGGAAAGTAGGGCAGCAAGGTAGAGCTGGGGATGGTAGAGGAGGGGGAGTGGACAGAAGCTGAAGGGGCAGGGGATTGAAGGGCCTGTGGATATAGGCCCTCTTGTAACCTATGTGGTTACAAGAACACACATGATGGAAGAAACCAAAGTCCTGAGTCTTTATTCTGGAGCCCCCAAACAGCTGTGAAGTCTTTAGGCAAAGTTGGAATCTTATCCTTGCACACTGCCTAGTGTCCATAGAGGATAACAGACCACTGCTGCTACCACTAGCTTTGCTAGCTCGAGTGGAAGGGGCCTGTGCTGTAGAGGCTAACATCTATGTTGCATATTCAGACTTTGTTCTGGCATTTCCTGCTTTCAAGTGCTTTGACTTGGCAGCTGTATCATTCTGTTGCCAGAGAGTGAGGGAGCACATAAAGGCAGCACATACTCAGGATCCCCAGATCCAGTACTTGCCAGCCATTTTATCCTGCCCGTCTGCAGAGCCTGGTTCATGGAATAGCCCATTCAAACAGTCTAAGGCGTAAAAGTCCCATGTTCAATTTCCAGAAGTGCCCGGTTCCTTCCCTGGTTGGGAATAATGTGTGTAAATGGGCAAAGACCGTGTTCGCTCCTTTTACTGACCTCTTCTGTTTTCCATTCCAGGGAAGATGCTGTTGCTCCAAAGACACTTTCTTGGGCTAAAGGTTCTGGTTCAGACACTGTCTCCAAAAATGGTACCTTGTCTTCAGTGAACACAACTCGGGACCACAAATTGTACATGTCCAAGCCTGTCTCAGACACAGCCTCCATCATCACTGCTGCTGGCAGCACTGTGGGCTACAAGCCCCAGTACACCACCCTAAGGAGTGGAACTCTAACACCCACTCCCAGCTTATCCAGCCAGTCCCTGCCTCTCTATTTCCCCCCTGTGATGAATGGCAACCATTACCAGAACACTGTGCCAAGCAACAGAAATGCTCTCCACAGGACAAATGGACCTCAGCTACAGCCCCCCCAGCAAGAACCTGCTGTGCCTCAAGGGCTCACCACCTCCACCCTTGCCAGAATGGGTGCAGTGCCAGTCATGGTACCGGCCCAGAGTCATGCAGGGTCACTAGTGTAAGCATCCAACAGCTTGTGCACCCTCTACAGAGAAAAGGGTCTGCAAGTGGCCATTTATCCTTACCAAAGTGAACAGTTGGGAAACAGAAGGGCAAAGCCACTTGCTTCCTGCTCCATGCTCATGCATATATGAGATGTGTGAGGGGAGCAGTTTACATGGCATTTGTGTACAGAAATTCCCAAGGAACAGGCTGCTTTAGATACCCTCTGGACACAGCAAATTCCCCTGCAGCCTCACACACAGCACTCCTCCCCACAAAAACTCCTCCCCACCCCCTGCTCCCTCCCTATGCTGTTGCCTTAGCACTAGGGCCCACCTGCTTCCCTCCTCTGGTGGGAGAGTTTATTTATTGAAGAAATATGGCTGGTGTGTGTGTGGTTATTTCCCCTGCTTTGGGCAGCAGCTCTTTTGGCTTTTTGGCAAAGGCTGTGGCCAAAGGGCTTGAAAAATGCTCTTGATAGTGCTGAGTTGGGGACACGGGGGAGAAATTGGGAGCTGCTTGGCCAATAGCCACCATGGTATCCAAGCTTCAGTTTCAGCCTTTGTGAACTCCAAGATATGACCCCTCCTTCCCATGGTGCCATTTTGTCTGTTATAGGAGCATTTTCCCACTGCTAGCAAATTGTGCTCACTCCCGGTGCAGAGAGCAGGCTTGTCGTGAGTGGAGTTGGGCCCAAGTGGAGCTTCTGGCTAGGAGGGAACCTGTCCAAGCCTGGCTCTGAGCAGCCATACAGTGCTGGGAGTCTGTTTGCTAGGGGAGAAGCATTATAGTACAGATTCCCCTATAGTACAGTCTTCATCCCCATCACTAACCAGATTAAGGCACTGGGCCTAACTGCATCATGGCTGCTAGCTAGAGCTGTTATGAAAGGGTATCACTGTGATAGTGTCTGGTGATGGTAGCTGCCATGAATCCCACCCTCTGCCTGGTAAAGCTGGAGAACACCCCTTCTCTTCACCCATGTACCCCCAATTGCTTGTGTACTCTAGCAGCTTTAGTTCTCTGGCTAGCAGGGTTCACACTTTCCTCTCTCATCTCTCACTATCTGAATCCCCCAGTCTGTGTCCTGCCTGCATCAGGTATTGGGGCAGGGCAGCAGCTCACCTGGGACTTGTACACTCCTTCCTCAACACTGTGGAGAGCTGCACTTTGCAAAGAGCCTAAGCACCCAACAACCAAAGTTGTACCCTGCCTGAGGGGAACAAGGCCTCTGTGTCTTCCCACCAGGAGAGGGTCATGAGCTTGTGCTACTAACCCAAGCAAAGTGTTCTAGAGTAACCTCGTAGTCTAACCATTGTTCTTTTAAGGACACCTTCAGCATTTTGATTCATATTATGCTAATGATTATATTTGTTTATTTAATGGACTCCTTAAACCTTGTGTATTTTGCTTTTTTGGGTAGGAAATAATTTTATCCCCATAGCTACTAACTGCTCTTCCCACCCAGATCGTCTCCCTCTGGTTGTTGTTGTGCTGGCTATTTTTAAATGTCAGCCAGATCCTTCTGCTGGGTGGGATGGGGAAGGCGCTGAGAGATTATTTTTATGTACAATTTTAAAATGTAATATTTTTCATAAATGGTCATTAAAATATTTGGTTTTTATATTTAAATGGGAGCTGAGTTAGCTGCACTCCAGAACAGGCACAGCTCAAGACCTTTACCACTGCCACCCACCAGTGCCTGGCAGGCAGACAAAACTATGCAAACCTCGTGACAGGAGTTGCCATGGGTAGCATGGCCCGTGTTATCAGCATGCCTCTCCCAGCCCTGTGCAAGACAAATATGAATAAACTACATCATAGCCTTGTGGTTCTGTGCCCAACCAGAGCATTTGTAGGGGAAGGGTTAGCAGGAGTAGCAGCAGGAGTGAAGGCCTAGGTTCTCAATGGGACCTAAGTGGGAGGTGCCTCACCCTCCTGGCCCCCATCCCCCTTTCCCCTCCCACCATGCAACTTTCCTGCACTGGTTCTGGCAGTAGGGAAAAAAGAGAAGCAGCCCACGGTGCAGGAGCAGCTGGAGGTTTGTTGCCACCCAGGGCAGATGTCACTTGCTGGTATTTCTGGCCTCTTGACATGCATATTGATGGCAAAAAAGGAGATGACATCTCCCCAGTCAGCACTGAGCCCCTGGCCTCTGCAGCGTATGCTACCGCCACCCTGGGTACAGTACTACCCAGTTATACCTATGACTAAAGCCATCCTCACCTTGACTAGCCACCCACATCTCCATCCCTGAAGAAAGCCTCATCCACCAAGTTATAGGCCACTGCTGGGGTAGGAGAAAGGGCATTGCTCATCACTCCCTTTGATGCTGTTCCAGGGGCTGAGCCACATGACTAGCATAGGACAGGTCACCTGATTTCACAAGGCATTGCCCTTCCCCTACCATGTATTCAGAGAAAGCAGCTGCCTGTACTGAGCTGTGTGTAGAGCTGGATGAGTTCCACGTGCTCTAAGTCGGGGGAGAGGGAGGTGGAGGAACACGTACTTTGAGGATCCTGCTCAGTCGAGGTGTGAGGCACCAAGATGCTTGGTCCTTCCAGGACTGAGGTGCTGCTGGAGGCACACAGAAAGGAGTTTTTATCACCTGAGGAACTTGAATGTCAAAAACCAAGGTGCCAATGGAGTTCAGATATTTTCAGCATGCAATTTGTGGATTGGATTTCCATGCCTAAATTCTGCCTCAATCCCACTTTAGTGCCTAGATCTTTTCTGAGTTCAGATTGTAGCTCAGCAATTGTCAACTGGGGTCGTGTGAAATTCAGAAAAGTTATGAAAACAGCCTTGAGCTTAAAAAGGTGCTCAACCCCCTGGCCTGCAGGCACTATCATCCAGCCCACAGCACTCCCCAGGGAGCCAGAAATTTGGTGGTGGAAGAGCAGTGGCAATTAACATGGCTACCACTTGTTCACCACCAAATTTCCAAGCTCTGCCTACAGACCAGGTGTGGTCTGTGAACCAACTTGGCATCACTTATTTGGCCCACTGATCAGTCCATGCCAGGGCGCTATAGGTGATGAGTAGGGGGTGCACATGTACCCCCTGAGAGCACTGGTGCCCCCCCACTCCAAGAAGCGCCGTTGGCACTTCCAGGCATGCCACTAGCACTTCTGGGCTCTTCTTGTGGACAGTCATCACCCCCTCCAGCCTCAGGAGGCATGCATCGCCTATGCAGGGCTCTGATCATGCTTCTGCCTGCAGCCTAATGAGATGTGGATTGGTCCACGGACTTCCACAAAAAGAGATATTGTTAGGGATCTACCAAAAATCACCATTGCATATTTTTTGTGGACAAAGCCAAATCAGGCAGGCTCTGTGAAAAATGGTGGACTCGCTGAAAAAAAAACAAACAAAAAAACCAAAAAAACCAACAACTTACCAGCAATCAAAGGAAAGTGTAGGAAGCGCTGCAGTCCTGAAATATGGGGTATGGGGGGGAAGAGC